TGTCACTTGGTACGTGTGCTACTGGAGCCAATTCTCTCCTACTGTGGAGATTCTCTCCTCTGTTGTTTGGTAAGATGCCCCTCTTTGGATCACAGCTTAACACCCAGTTCTTACAAGAACCGTTTATCAATTGATCACAACTCTTCTATAGCCTACTAGTACAATCCCCAAATATCCCAACTGTCTAAATCATTCTCGTAATTAAGATCTTTTAACGTATATGGTATGTATTAGATCTTATACATGGTAAACAATTCCAGGAATGCATGCATATCTAGATACACATTATGATAATGATTCTCACATATTTCTGCTGAAGGTCCTTTGAGAGCAGAGAGTAGAGAAACTTTATGTTGCTGAGGTCACAGGGGTTAGCAGTTATAAGTGCCTGGGAATACTTTTCAGTTTTTTTTTTTTAATCCTGTTTTATTTTAGATGTTCACATTAAATTTGTTTTACTTTTAAAAAACTTTATTTTACTTTGTAGCATACTATTTGTTCTAATGTAAAAAAATACTATTAAAATTAACTCTGAGATTAAATGACTTAAATGTCCTCTCAAATTTTTGAATAAATGTGAAGCTTCTGGAAAATAGACCATGTTGATCTAATATCTCCTCCTTAAGCCTTCTTATTTATCACCCTATATCTCTGTGATAATGTGTATGCTACCAAAACATCCTGAAGGTGACAAAATTTAAAATAACTTGGAATTGGTACACCTAGTTTTCTTGTCTGCAGTATATATCAGTTTAGTACTTAACCACTTTATCTTCCTTTTATAGGTTATAAGGTACATAAATATAGAGACAATGCTAATTTAGGCTGATTTATTGAATAGTCATTCACTAAGCAAATATTTATGAATAGTCCTCAATACATACTATGGAAGCATAAAAATAAATATGACATGGATCTCTTAAAGAAGGGAAATTAATGTGCATTGAGGGCTTACTCAGCTAAGCATTGAGCTAGGAATTTTGAGGCACATGATCTCAATTATACTCACTCAAACCGCAGAAGATGGCATTATATTCTCCATTTTTCAGATGAGGGAACAATAGTTCAAGGTGAAAAGGAAACTTGGCCAAGATCAAATATCCAGGATACGGAACCAGTGTGTTTACTTAACCATGAAGTCCACGCCCTTTCTACGAAGTGATGGTGTATACCATCAGACAGAGGTAAGACAACAAAAAATAAGTATGGTGCCATACTGCTAAGTATGATGTCAGCAGTTTAGAAGCTGTGACATGTTTGCTGCTGGTAAATGGAATCTGAGAAGGCTTCATGGAATAATGGCATTAGAGCTGGCCTTAGAGAGAGGGTTGGAGTTCAATAGCTTAGGAGTTTGGGCAATCCAAATGGAAACACCATAACTGAGAACATGTGGAGAGTCTCTAAGTTGAAGATGAGTCATGCAGTTGGGCTGGATGTTGATCTATAAACAGGGGAACATTGGATGAAAAGGTGGGCAAAAAGGGAGCTTGACTATGGAGTACCTTATGTGCCAGGAAATTTGGAATTTTAGAGTTACAGACTGTGCAATGCTATTGATAGACTTTTGAGTAAGGAAGTGATGAATTCAAACTGGAAAAATTAGTTTGGCAGCATTGAGCAGAACATTTTGGGGTGTGAGCCCAGGTGAGCCTGAAAAACCAAGGTGTGGCTGTGGGATATGTGGAAGGAAGTGAGTGAGATTGGGAACACAGATTCATTAGCAGATGGTAACTAGTGCACCTGGAATTAGAAAAAGAAGTTGCTAAAAATGATGGCGAAGCTCCCAGCCCAGAAAACTGAAGGCCCAGTGGGATATCATAAACGGCAATATGGAGGTCAGAATAAATTGCAAGGTCAGAGGAGGAAGATAGAAGATGCACTGGTTTTTAGACATGGTAGATTTGGCTGCCAAAAGTTATGCCTGTATAGGCGTCAGTCAACAACTGAAAACAAAGGACAAAAGCCTGGAGAGAGGCTGGACCTGTGGTTGCACATTTGGCAATAATAAAATCCGGACCACTTATCCAGTGGTGGGAAGAAGGCTTGTGATGGAATGAGAGAATGGGCAATCCAAGGCAAAAGAAAAGGTCAGCAGAAAACTAATGGGGAGAGCTGAGAAAAACATTCAGTATGGTGATGAGGGTTACTGTGATGTTTTAAGGAATTTACAGGTTATAGGGTTTTTTTGTTCTTTTTTTTTTTTTTTTTTTTTTTAGTAACTGGGAAAAGCCAAGGAGAATTTTGACAGCAAAGGGAAAGCCTAGAGGAGCAGGAATGGTACCTAAGTGTTGGGCTTGCTTTGCTTTTCATCTTTCTTGTTAGACTATGGGAGGCAGGATCATGGCCTCAAATGAGGCTCACATCTAACTGATACATTCTCCCAAAGAACCCCTTCTTCCAAAGTTGTGCACTGACATAATAGTCACTATGATCATGAAGTGAAGGACTTAGAGGAAGCACTGTAAAAGCAAGACCATGGGACACATAGAAAGATTTTCAAGGGCAGCACCTCTTTTCTTCCACAGAACTCACTCTTCCATCCAAACCTTTCTTTCTCAAATCCCCAAATTATTGTGTGATATCTTCCTTGGCTCCATCTCATTCTTGCTTCCCTCTATCTAGTCTACACCTATAAATAAAGACTCTTTTTGTCTGCCTCATTTCCTTCCAGTAAGTCTCCCCCAGTGTTGTGCAACTTATCCTCATGGAAAGGACTCCATCTTTATCCTGAATCACCTGAATGAGAAATCCAAAGGCTCTATTTGGCATAATGTGTTACTGGCCTTCTCTGCTTTGAAATAGTTGATAACCAATCACCTTCTTCCCAAGGCTGTGTCCTCCCCTCATATCCACGTGACACACATTCTTGGTTCTCCTCACACCACGCTGACTGAAGATCTGTGTGTTTTGCGTGTGTGTGTGTGCGCGCGTGCGTGGGTGACCCTCATTCTCTCAACACTGATATTTCCCACTCTAAACCCCATCATTTTCCCATGTCCCTCTGATGTCTTTCCCCATGCTCTGGCTTTTGCTACCACACACAGACGGAGGATTCCCCAGTTACTCTCTCTAGTGTAGACTCATTCTTTGGGGCTCAGACCTCTGTACTGGGTGTAGCCCACTGGGATGTTGAGTACACACTGCAAGTTCAGTATTTCCAAAGTCAAGCTCAGCAGATTCCTCTCCAAATTTTTTCTTCTTCTTTTCTTCTCAAACTCAACTGTTGGTACTACCACCCACCCCCACACACCACTACCTTTCATATTCATTCCTAACCTATTCATTCCTAACCACTGAGGTTTTTTAAAACTCTGTCTCTAAATATTTCATGACCCTGTCCACTACCCTTAATACTGCCACCCTAACTTTCCCACAGCAAAGTTTCATTACCTTTCACTTGGACTATATCCCCTGACAAACAACCAGCCCCATTGCTCTAAAACAAAAATTAGATCCTGTACTCCTCTACTTAAATTCTTTAATGGTTCAGCTCCTCTGTAAGTCTACAGGACAAAGTCCAAGTTATTTTAACATAAAAGGCCATGTCCTGGTGACCCTCTTCTCGGGGCACAGACTGCACTGAAATTCATGTTCCAGCAAAACTGAGCTCCTTATAGGAACTGAGGACTCCCATTGTGCTGTTCTTCTCTTCATGCCTGTTCTTAGGATGGTCCCTCTGCTTCTACCCACTTTATTTTATTTTATTTTATTTTTAAAATTTGATTTATTTATGTGAGAGAGAGAGAGAGCATGAGCAGGGGGAAGGGCAGAGGGAGAAACAGACTCCCCACTGAGTGGGGAGCCCAAAGTGGGGCTTGATCCCAAGACCCCAGGATCATGACCTGAGTCAAAGGCAGATGCTTAACCTGCTGAGCCACTCAGGCACCCTGCTTCTACACAATATAATATGATAGATACCTTCCATCTTTACCATCAATTCAGTGACCATCTCTCCTAAAAGCCTCTCCTGACTGTCCCCACTACAACCTGAAGGGGTATAACAGCCTACGAACTTCTCTATCATGTCTCTTAACACACTAGATAGCAATGACACTTAACTGTGTTTGTATTCCACAATAGATTGTGAACACTCTGAAGAAGGGCATGTCCAACTCATGTTTGTTTCACTGGAATACAGTTCATTGTTACAGGTTAGTACTGGGTACACGTTTGAGTGTTGGAGGAATACTCCATTAGGAGAATGAGACAGTTGACAAAAGGGGAATCAAGAGAGAATGGGATTTACTGAAGTCCAATTTGAGTTATGTAGAATAATGTTATAGTGAAGCCCTTATGCTTGTTATGTGACTTTAAACAAAAGATTCTTCAGCTCAATGTGGTGAAAGAGATGGTGAGAATAACCTGGACTTGGTGATTATTCAAAGAGAGGGAAGAACTCCAGGATGCTAGGTCAGCTGCAGAGACTACCGAAGGGCTGAAGAATATTAAGAAGATGGTAGAGCAGAAGGGAATGATGAGGACAAGTAGAAAGCTGGGTGAGTCTGAGAACTAACAATGGGGAAAGAGAAGGAGGGCGTGCTGTGTGTGTGTGTGTGTGAGAGAGAGAGAGAGAGAGACGGAGAGAGAGAGATGAAAAACTGAGAGAAGGTACAGTGAACATAAGTCCAAGCTGCTAGAAAAATCATCTGTGGATTCATAATCCAACAAAATAAAATAAAAATCATCCTGTCATTTAATCAATGTGTTATTGTGATTAAAAATCTGTTTGCCAGTTGGTATAACCTTTTGAAATTTTGCAACACATTCTACAGTCAGAGAATCATACAAATCGCAGAAATGATGACAAGATAACTTTCGGATATCATTCTTCTATTTCTGGAAGCAGAGAACCCTAGTCTGCTGCTTGGTTACATAATTTTTGTCCAGCTTTCATTTTGAAATTGTTTTTCCCAAAGCATGACAAATAAAAATCACTCTAGCCCCTCCTTCCTCCTGGACAGTTTCTTCACCCATTATTTTAGTACCTTGAGACCACTTACCACAGATGAAGCAGGTTGTCTTTAGAATCTCTTCTTTTTTCTGTTTTTCACTTCTGAGATCAGCAAAAGTATCAATGATAACACCAAAAATCAAGTTTAGGACAATAATGATGACAATGAAATAGAAAAGAAGGTCATACACCACTCGGGCAGCAAACAAAGGCTCCTGAAATAAAAATTTTAAAGAACATATATGTATACATATTTTCAAGGTACGCTGATTTGGCACATGGTCTAGGAGAGAATACATTCAGTGTCTGTTTACTGAATGAATATAAATAGTGCTCCGAGCTGGAAAAAATAAGACCTACTTTCTGTCTTCATTTTCTTTCCTTTAAGTGTTGTGAGATACACTGCACATCTGTTCCCAGAGCACCTTCCCTTCTCCAGGACTTATACCCCTCCCACCAATGGGGGAACGTACGTTTTATTAAAAACCACTGTACTATATCATTCTGCTTAATGCATTTTGGCACATCGGGACCCTATCCCAGAAGCCGCACAAACGGTAGACAAGTAGAAATTCCCAAGGTCAGCCGTTTGGAGCTGAGAAGGACCTAATGCTTCGTCCATTTCTAGAGTAGATTTTGTTCTTGGCCTTATAGGGTTAAGTACAGACAGCTCTAGCTTACTTCCACCTGAAGGGCAGTATTAAAACACACATCAGAGACACTGCAATCCAGCCGTTTCATAGACGAGGAACCCTTAGATGACTGACAATAAGCCACAGCTGGCTTGTCGCAGGACTCAGATTTTTCAAGCCTTCTGCCTGGAGTTTGAGCTTTTGCAGCGAATGAGAAATTTTTTAGCCTTGCCATTTTAATATATGAAATCATGTTAGAATTTGTTCAAATTTTGTATTCATCAAGGATAAAGAATGGCCGCTATTACCATTCAGAGGCAAAGAGTAAATCTTCACTCCTGAGAAGCCTGAGACACAAGAGGCAGCCTACTTCCTGTTATTTATGTCACAATTAACTCCTCTACTAAGTTGGTAGTCATGATCTCATAGCTGTAACACAATACACAGTTCAAACTTGGAAACTTTTCATAACCCTACTAACAGACATTGATCTTTTAGGACATGAGCTATTTCTGTGTAGTTCTAGTATACAATTAATTGGTTTTTAATGGCCACCATTATACGCTTAAAGCAAATCACACAGAGGTACAGCAAACAAAATTGTGCTGTAGATGTTGTTAAGAAAATTTTAAGAATGCTTATGTTCTTCTTGAAAAGATATTTTTTTCTCCAGCTTACATCTTTCGATGGCCTCCTGAGAACGTCTCCCACACCACCGCCATTCCGAAGGCCCTGGTTCAGGACAGTGACGATACACATGAGGAGAGTGTCACATGTCCTTTCAATTCCATCCTCATACTCTTCATCAGCTGTAAAAACACACGAGTTAAACCAGGCAGAAAACTCCTGTTTTTTTTTTTTTAAAGACTTTATTTATTTATTTGAGAGACAGTGAGAGAGAGCATGAGTGAGGAGAAGGTCAGAGAGAGAAGCAGACTCCCCGTGGAGCTGGGAACCTGATGCAGGACTTGATCCCAGGACTCTGGGATCATGACCTGAGCCGAAGGCAGTCGTCCAACCAACTGAGCCACCCAGGCATCCCAGAAAACTCCTGTTTTAAATATGCTCCTGTCTACATCCAAAGAGCCATTCCTTTATAACTGTGTCATGACACAATGTTTTGAAGCACATAATACATATTCGACTTGTAGTAGCCCATGACTGACACAGGCTGAGAAGCCCACACACTAGTATTTTGAAATATTTGTTTTCTTCCAAGAGTGAAAAATGGCAGAACGGAAAGGACAATATATAAGAAAGCTCGTCTGCCCGGTGCATTGTTGTAGCGCAGGGAGATTGTGGTAAGACCTCAGGAAGAGAGTCCACTCACCCAGGAAGCAAAGATACTGCAAGAAAAAGAGCACGCACAAGGAAGCTAGATGGGCGTGGCTCCAAATTCTACTCTGTCCCATAACTGAGACTTGAGCAGTCACTTGACCTCACTATACTCATCTGTAAAATGGGGAGTTATAATTAAGGATGAAACCCTTCAGAAGATTATATTTAGGATATGTGAAACATTGCACAGAGATTAGCAAACACATGGTAGGTGCTTAAAAATTTACGGCAGATATTCTCTCATTTGGTTAAGCATCTAAGCTCTTTTAATGATGCGCATTGAGCAATGACAAGAAGAACAATATATTTATGTGAACAGTTTATGTGAATGTACTTATGTGAAAATATTTAGGGTGAAACAAGGAGACAGAAAAGATATAATGTGACAAAAAAATTCCTGCCCTTATTTGGTTTATAGGTAAACTTGGTAATAATTCCCCAGTCATTTAAAATAGTGAAAAGTTCATATTATATTAGAATCGGGATTTCTAGAGCACCTGGGTGGCTCAGCTGGTTGAGTGTCCAACTCTTGGTTTCGGCTCAGGTCATGATCTCAGGGTCATGAGATGGAGCCCCACATCAGACTCTGCATTCAGTGTGGAGTCTGTTGAGATGTTCCCCACCCCCTACTCCCTTGCTCTCTGCTCCTCCCCCACTTTGCAAACACCTTCTCTCTCTAAAATAAAAAAATAAGTAAAATCTTAAAAAAAAAATAAAGAATCAGGATTTCCTAAAATTGGTAAGTGAGTAGAAATGTGTTTTTCTTGTTACAAGGTCAGAGAACCGTAGTGGTGTCGAATTTTGAAATTGTGTAACCATGGGCGCAAATATGAAAACAACCAAAGGGGGGGGAAAAGAAAAGAAAAGAAACAGTCTAATTTTGTCTACATGATCCACGACCAACTGCCTGTTTGGTACTTTGTTACAAAAAGGAGGCTGATTTTCCTCTTGTGAACTGACTTTATTTTAACTTCACATGGATGGGAGGATCCTGATATTTTCACTTTATTCAGAGCGGTTTCTTTTTAAAACATAAATATATACCTCAAGAGGAGGGCGGAAGTCAGAGATGGGCAAGCATGAAGTTGCAGCATCAAAGCTAGCGGCCGAGGCTGTGCAGACACTTACCTTAGAGGTGAGCCTCAAGGCACATTCTGATTTAGAAAGTAGAGGAAATAAAGGTGCCTTGGGAGGAGGGACAAATGGGGAAGAGGTGAGGCTTGTGGGGGCAGCACAGCAGAGGAGACAAGGCAGGCAGAGAAAGCTCACTCTGCAACATGCTAGTTAGGCTCCCGACACCCGAAGGTGCGTTCTAACATGGTGGCTAGGAAGAACATGAAGAAAGCTGGTTAGAAATGCGTAGGGCCACCTGGGTGGCTCAGTCAGTTGAGCAGCAGCCTTCGCCTCAGGTCATGATCCCAGGATCCTGGGATTGAGCCCTACATCCGGCTCCCTGCTCAGTGGAGAGCCTGCCTTTCCCTTTCCCTCTCCCTGTGCCTGCTGCTCTGCCCACTTGTGCTCTCTCTCTCTGTCAAATATAAATAAAATCTTAAAAAAAAAAAAAAAAAGAAATACATAAGAGAATTAAAGGCATTCTTACAGAGAAATATGGTTTTTGGTAATGAGGTCATAGGGAATAGGTCTTTATGCTACTTAGCCATGGTTAGACGTTCAGTCAAAGCAATCTCATATCTAGTGGCAGGATCTGCATTCATATATTCAATCAGCAACTACCTGGTCACGTCACCTAAATGTTTACTAAAGACTTAATTATGTGCCAGGTTCATCAGCACATAGAAGCCACACAAAAGTCCTCCATCTTGCCCTAAGAATTTAAAAATGAGGTTGCTCATTCGTTAACAGGTGAGCTAGTAGAATCCACACACAATTCATGTGATTAGTCATTGAGAAGTAAAACAGATGGGCTATGAATATATAAAGGAGAGTATAGACTTTCCGTGTGGCACGTACACAGCGGGAGAAAATGCCCAGGTCAGGTCAGTAACAGCAACCAACCAGTCAGCGCACTCTGTAAGAATCGGGGCGTCAGCCATGCTTGTTTTCTACAGGAGTCTCCATGAGTTTGGTGAATAAGGCTCTATTGTCCAGAGATGGATTTACTTGCAATACATTAAGCCAAGTTCCCAGGCCTGCAGCCTAAAAGCCAGGCCCTGAGTTATAGTAAATTCAACTAAGCAAATGCCACCTTGTGGAGACCTACCTACATAACCAGCTGGCCTTCCCCATGCCAAACCTGCATAATCACACTGTCTCCACAGACCCAGGACAAGGTGCTAGGTATACAGGTGGGAAGAGGGAAGTGTGGCAGCCCCTAGGAGATTTATGGTTTCCTAGGGAAGTTTGGTCAGCTGTTGAACAAAAGCAATGCCCTATCCCAGGATACTATGCGCCCAGGACAGTGTGTGTCTCGTGGATGGGGGCACATCAGGAACAGAATCTTGAAGGAGGTGGCGCCTGAGGTGAATATGGAAAGAGACGCATGCCTGGCCAGTAATATCAGCAAAGTAAGACATTCTAGGCAGAGAAAAGAGGATGAGCGAAGGCATTTGAGGAACTGCAGGTGCATTAGAATGACTAGGCCTTTGGTGCCTGCAGACAAGTGTGAGAAGAGAAACAGGGAGGGAGCTGTTTATTATGGAGAGACTCATAGTCCCAGCTAAAGAGCTTGAACTTTATCCTGAAAGCCAAGGGGAGTCGCTAGAGAACTTCAAACAGGAGCAAGGTGGTTTGTCACCTAGCTAATGAAACAGTATGAGATAAAACATTTACTTAAATACAAGACAAATTAACATGTGATTATAGCCACAGAAGTGGGGCAAAGAGATCAGAATAGAGAGAGAACATTTAATACTAGGGATAATGAGTGGGGAGTACCTCTAATGTAGACTCTGACTTTTGTCTTGAATAGTCAATGGATTAAAACATCAGTGGAGAGGCATTGCCATGGTAGGGCCAGTGAGCAAGTTCTTTTCTTATACGATGAATATCAAATAAGCCAGCATGTAAAAGAGTGGAAATTAAGCTGGGGAGATAAACTGGGAGATCTGTGCGGGTCTGGGTTTTCTTTGGCAGGCAATGGAGCATCATGAAAATCTCGAGTTGGGGGTAGGAGAGGAAATATTCAAAGCAGTGATTTCTGATGAGTAATCTGGGGGTGATACAGTAGGTGAATGGAAGAGGAGAGAATGACTGGAGGTACAAAGACCACTTAGGAGGCATAATGTGTGATGAGCCTCAATCAGGCTCATCACACATTTCCATGAGAATGGAAAGGATGGATGAACAGGAGCCGGCAGGACGCTAGGCCTGAGGGAGAAGGCCGTGTTATACATCCTGCTGGAGCTTCTGGCCAGAGCTGACTCAGGAATGGAGGGTCCCATGAGGCCACAGATATGGGCAACTGAGGAGGAGGAGCTGGGTGCTGTGATGAAGACAAGGAAAGAATACCAGATGACTGGAGGACGAGAAGGTGAGAAGACATTTTTAAAGCTAGAGAGCACAAGAGAGCTAGGAGAGTACTGTGATCCAAAATTCAGGAAGAAAATAATGTAAAGATGGAGAAGATGCCAAAAAAAAAAAAAAAATGTAACCATTACGGGAAGAGTCAAAACCCATAAGAAGCAAGAAAAGGTGTCTGGAGTGAACATTCAGGTCTTCAGGAAACGACAGGAATATGGCCAATAGTGAAACAGAAGATGGTTGGTGCAAAAGGAGAGAGTTCAGGCCACTTGTTATATCTGAAACTCTGGTCCTGAAAAGGAGGAGACCAGTTTGTGTGGGTGGGTAACAAGAGTGCAGAAGGTGGTTCAAACTGAGGAAGCAAGGAGGTTTCAGGTACAAGAACAAATAATGGGCTAGCAAATAGTGGCAAGGCAGTAACGATGAAATCAGGTGGTTGTATTTATTTTTTATTTTTTTAGATTTTTTAAAAAATTTATTTATTTGACAGACAGACATCACAAGTAGGCAGATAGGCAGGCAGAGAGAGAGAGAGAGAGGAGGAGGAAGCAGGCTCCCTGCTGAGCAGAGAGCCCGATGTGGGGCTCGATCCCAGGACCCTGGGATCATGACCTGAGCTGAAGGCAGAGGCTTTAACCCACTGAGCCACCCAGGTGCCCCCAAATCAGGTGGTTTTAAAAGGGGTGAGAGGGGTGTGCCTGGATGGGTCAGTTGGTTTGAGCATTAAGACCCTTGGTTTCCGCTCAGGTCACGATTTCAGGGTTGTGAGATCTGAGCCCTGCCCGCCAGGCTCTACACTCAGCAGAGTCTGCTTGAGATTTTCTCTCTCTAAATAAATCTTTAAAAAAAAAAAAGAAGAAGAAGAAGTGAGAGTGCATGCTTGCGTACAGGCGAAAGGAAAGAATTGAATTAGTGGAAATAGATGTGCAATGTGGATGCATTTTAAAAACTAAATATAATACATGTAACGAACTTAGAACATCATTTGGCA